CTTGAACACGGACTTGCTGATCGTCAACCCAGCATCCTAACCACATGACCCCACCATGCTCCTCCTTCATAGTTTATAACTGAACTCTAACTGAGCATCAGCCAAGTTATAAATCAAGATTGTGCTAGGAGGAAATGGGTTGTTTAATTAGCTTTTTCACTCCAGAGATCACCTTCTTCTAGTTTTGGATAGGGTTGAATTTCCCTTTGTCAACTTGCTTTGTTCTTTGGGAGTTCTCCTGGATTCTCACCTTCTGCTTAAACATCAGGGGCCCATAATGTCCAATTGCATTTTGGGCTTCAATTGCAACTTCTCTTGGTCCAGGCTGTACTGTCACAGTCATTCTTGTCTTTGTCACTTCTCAATTGCCTCTTTACAATTTGCTCTAAGTGGTAGCCTTTGAAGACCATCCAGAAGGTCAAATTGTTTTTTTTTAAATATTTTTAATTGAAATTATTTAATTTCAATTAGACAATTTCAATTAAATAATGGTAAAATAATGGTAAAAACCATAACAGATAATAAAAATACTTAGTGGGAAAAAAACCCAGAAAAAGAAGTAGAAAACAAAATGATAGAATAGGAAAAGAGAAATTGTAAAGAAGTGTGTTTTCATATTCTTGACAGTAGCTATAGATACATTTATATTTTGCCCTCTCTCTGTAAAGTTACATCATAATTTATGTACCTGCAGCACCCAACGTGGAATTCTTTTCACTGTCTTGCATCTGTTGTGATATTTATTTGGTCTCTCCTGTCATTGTCACTTCCATTTGTATTTTCTTCAATTCTACTCTAAAATCTTGGGGAAAAAAATCTACAGAGATTGCAGTCTGAGTCTCTATGGTTCAAAAGTGAAAATATCCCTTCCAACTTATCCCATCAATAGTCTTCTTTTTAAGTTTTTCAGGGAAAAAAAATACTTTTTTCCCTTCTTGCATAGTGTTTTAATTGGAATTTCCTTAAATACAATTACATCTGCATTTCCAGTCCTCAGTCTAGTATTAGAAATGCTGCTGTAAAACTTGATCTCTTGTCTCCCTCCTGATAAAGTGACATCCCTTGAAACATTTCTTAATTTTAAAAAATGTGTATTAATTCCATGGAATTTATCAATCTTAGTGCCTTAGTGTCATCTCAGAGACATAGCAATCTTTTTCTGAGATATCTTCTTAATGTTGTCTTGGAATTGCTATCAATCTTAAACAAGATTCTTTTACACTCAGTTCCAATAAAGGCAACTTGTCCAAACCTTTGTCTGTCTCTTTATTTATAACTCATACTTTCCAAAACTTTCACTTTGTCAGTAATTTGTTTCAAGTCTGCAGCCAGATGCCTTACAGATACTTTACTCTTCTTAACTTCTTCTTTCACAACTTTTTCTTTTAAATCCTGCAAATCCTTCTTCCATTTCCTTTTTACACCATTGCAGTCATCTCTTTGCCAAATTCTTCCAATACTTTCTGCAATGAATCTTGTGAAATGCCTTATCTGTAAGTTGTTCTAGTGAACCCTTGTATCCTTCTTCTAATTTAGGAGCTTGTCTTGGGTTTCCATTGTGAGAAAGTGAAAGCATGTTGATAAAAGTAAAACGTTTCTCCTTTTTTTCTGTTTTGCTTTGCTATGCTCAGCACTTTAGTTCCAATTAGTTCTCCATAGTTACATTTTCATGGTTTAGTACATATTATCCTTATCTTCTTGTTTTGTAAAATCCACCAATTATTTACTGTCCTTAAAAATAAACAATCAGCATTTCCACAAAGAACTGGTCTGTTCATCTACTTAATTTTGTTATTTTCAAAGGTACTTTCATAAAAAAACACTATCTCCTTTATCAATTTAAAAATTTCTTGGATCGTGATCTTGTTCAGCTTTTTGCTTTTAAATTAAAATCCTTTAAAATGTTGTTTCCCTTCTTAATTTTAAAAAGAAGGCCCTTCACAAGAGTCTTTAATTTTCATTGCCATTCAGAATATCTTTCTTAGATTGTAAAGTAATTAAATCCAAAGATGTTTAAGAAAGTGAGGCTTATGTTGGTCAGATGTCCATTAAGGCTGCACAGCAGTTAAATCTTGGCCTAACTATGGATTAGAAATGCTTAACATGGAATATAAGCGGGGCAAATGCTTCCCAAAAGAGAAAAAAAAATCATTATCTGAAACAGTTAGAACAATATGTGATTTTGCTTACAATAAACACATATTTGGAAAAAAGATGTTAAATGTTTAAGTCACAAAGCCTGAGAGAAGAATTTATCTCAGAAGAACTGGGAAAAAATGAGTTGTTTTGAATATAAATCTCCAACTATTTCCAAAACTTATACTAACTGAAGATTATGGCATATATTAGGGTGGATGTTAATGTAGAGAGGGTTAAGACTTTGATATTGGGAATTTATGCCCCCAAATGAATATAAAACAATATTTTATAAACAACTTATGAATGCTATTTGTAGCTCAGGGTTGATCTATGGAATTGGTGCTCTCTGAGATTGGTGAAATTTCTTGCCTTGCAAACATTTCATTACCCAACTAGGTAACATATTCAGTGCTAGAAGGGAAGGGATTACACTTCCATGAACACTGAGGGGGCAAGCCACTGTATATAAACAGAGAGCGAATTGCAGTCCCTTCTAGCACTGAAGTTTTTATCTAGTCGGTAATGAAAGATCTGCAAGAATACAACCAAGCTCAGAGAACACCAATAATTTATGGATAAATTATTGGGTTTTATGTTTGAACATTGATGCCTCCTCAGGGATTGGAATGGAGTATTTCTCCACAAAAAGATGGAACTTTTGGGAAAAAATGCTAACAATGCGCAGGAGATATTACCAAAGGATTTTATTTTTTTAAAAAAATTAATGGATAATTTGGAACTTGTTGATACATGTAGATACAAAAATGATGATTCAAAAGAATATACTTATTCTTGTTTTTTTTTCCCCTTGCCATAGAAAGTTAGGTATATCTTTCTCTCATTGTTTAAATGGTGTATCAGTTGCCAGAATAGGTATTGTTTAAAAGAAAAACATCATTATTGGAAAACATTTATTTTTATCATAGAAACTCTGCCCAACGATGACAAATTTTAATTTCTCCCATCAGAAGGTCAAATTGGTTCAGCATGCAGTGACCTAGGCTGCCTGTGTAACAACACCTCATCTCTGGCAACTGCATTGGTTGCCAGACAGTTTCCAGGTGCAATTCAAGTGCTATTTTTTTTAAAAAAAAATAAAATTAGTTCTAGTTCCTAGTAAGTTCATGGACAGGACCATGCAGGGTTTTTTTTGGTAATGTTGTAGAAGTGTTTTTCTTTTACCTTTGCCCAGAATGATTTCTGACTTCCTGGACTAGGACTGAAAAAAATAATGACTAGCCCCAAATTACCCAGTTGGCTTTAGTGCTTAAAAGAAGAGTAGAACCTATGTCTCCTGACACCTAGTCTAGTAGTTTGATTGCAATTCCTGACTGATCTCAAGATGCTGATTATCACCTTGCATGGTTTAGGGTCTGGTCATTTTCAAGACACCCTGCTCCTCAGTGAACTTGCCTACCTTGTAAGTTCTGTTGGTGACCCTGCTAAAGGTGTCATCCTCTAAGGCAGTGATGGCTAACCTTTTTGCCATCGCGTGCCAGGAAGGGGTGGGCGGGGGAGGTTTGCGCACGTGGGTGCCCACATCAATAATTCTATGCGCCCCAGCCCCACAAATGTGCGCCAACCCCCCCCTCCCCGCCCACCCCCGCTCCTGGCACGTGATGGCCCAGTAGGCCCATTTTTCTTTCTCACCTGGCTCCAAATCCTCTCTGTGCATTTGCGGAAGGTGAGAACAGCCTTCCCCACCTCTTTGGAGGCCTGAAATGGCCTGTTTCCCAACTTCCAGTTGTACAGGAAGTGATGTTTTTTGCTGTCCCCTAGAGAGGGCCTCCGAGGGGGTGGGGAAGGCTGTTTTCACCCTCCCCAGATGCATAGAGAAGATCTGGAGCCAGGTGAGAGAAAAACAGGCCTTCCCCACCCTACCCCCAGGCCCTTTGGAGGCAGGAAACAGCCTGTTTCTCTACTTCTGGTGGGCCCAGAAGGCCCGAAAATCAGCTGGTTGGTGCCGGAGCTGAGCTGGCGTGCCAGGCAAATGGCTCCGTGTGCCGCTTATGGCACACGTGCCATAGGTTCGCCATCAGGGCTCTAAGGAGTGGCTAGTTCAAGATGACCAAATGTGAGCTGGAAAAGTGCTAACAATCATTAAATGTCAATAAATGGTTAGGTATTCTTTATTTTTCTTTAAAGTGACAACAGTTAATCAGTGGAACAGCTTATCTCTGGAAGTTGTGGGTGCTCCATGACTGAAGGTTTTCAAGAAGAGACTGGACAGCCATTTGTCTAGGATGGTATAAGGTCTCCTGCTTGTGGAGGGGGTTCGACTAGAAGACCTCCAAGGTCCCTTCTGACTGTGATGTTCTGTGTTCTATTTCTTTGCTGCTTACTAATGGCCTTTCTTGATTTTGGCAACCCAGATACGGCCCTGTTAAAGTAGAAAGTGAAAAATGAAGGACCAGTTAGATAAATTATTTCACACTAAGAAACTACGGTGGACAAGACCATCAGTTCTCTATATCTTTCCCTTTAGGATACAAATTATTTCTAGGCAATTTGCAGACATCAACAATCATACAATAATTGTATTAATTTTCTTTTTTAAAAATGGTATTTTTTTCCTACAGGGAAGCTTGTGATTGTTTACTCAGCCATCCTCTAGCAAACATCAAACATGTCCAATTAGCACGGAGATACACTGATGAAAAACTTGCAAACTAATGTTCACTTGCCCAAGACACAGATGTTTCTTTGAGAAGATTCAAGCAGGGAAATGCAAAAGAAAAGAAAAAAAAGAACAGAACAATAAAAAAAGTGTTAAGCTTCGGTAATTGAAAATATCCTATCAGTGATCTTGCTTGCATGATAAAATGAGATAAAATTAAATTTTCCAACGTTCTCCTCCACAGATTTTGGACATAAAAGGGCTGACCATGTCGCTCCGTTTTGGACAACATCTCATCAAGCCTTCTCTTGTGTTTCTGAAGACAGAGCTGTCTTTTGCACTTGTGAACAGGAAACCTGTGGTCCCAGGCCGTATCCTTTTTTTTCCTTCTGGTTAAGAAGTATCAAGTATAACAGATGGCTTTGGATCTCTGGCTATCTGCCTGGAAGTGGGCACCTTTCCTCGCTTCTTGCAGAAGAACAGGTAAGATGTTACTCATATTTATTCTGAAGCCAGTCAGTGGAACATAATATGCTTGATCAGTGTTGCAGAACTTTTGAAAGAGGTTGCTTAGCAACGGTGACCAAAGAGGTGATTTTTCTCCTGATCTTTTCACCAAAGGGAGATATATAAATAAACAGGCATTTAGCATTTTTGAAAAAGGAGTTGACTGTGCTTCAAAGATCCTCTCTGTTTTAATTGTTGCATTATTAGACCAGAAATTAGACTTTTGTGGGTTTCGGTACGTATGAGGGACAAATTCAGCTGGAATAGCTAATTTCCCAGGTGAGCAATGGCTTTTTGAAGGAACAACCAAGGCTCAACAGTAAGTCATATGTTCTTATGCCAGAAAGTCCTAGGATCAATCTTAGATATCTAGAAGCATATAATGAAAGAGTCCTTTGCTTGAGTTCCTAGAAAGTTCTCAGAGTGAGAAATGTTGGTCTCGGCAGACAAATAGCTGAACCTGGCCTAAAAAACTTCCTAGGTATGAAAAGGTGCACACGGACTAATAATTGTCTTGAGAGATTTGGGTCCTGAAATATGACATGAAATCTCAGATAGAAAAGATACTGCTCAAACCTAATGGGTGGGTTGGTTCCTTTGTTTAGATCCAAGCTAGCTTTTTGTGTACGAAAGTTAGCGTTAAACCTGCAAAGCACAATCGATCAGTTAAAGGTGCTAAAACAAGCACCCTCCAAATGTATGGAATTCTCTCTCCAATAAGTCTATACATTTGCTTTGCTGACTGAGGAATTCTGGGAGTTGAAATCCACAGGTCTTCAAATGGTCCAGGTGGTGAAACACTGTCTTACACTGATCTTCAGCTGGTGACTGCAAAAAATAGCACAGTTGGAAACAGTGGCCCATATAAACATCTAGAGAACCCTAGCAGCACTTCCTCTGTCTGTTGAACTCTCCCCCTTTCATCTAGATGTGTTTAATTATTATGTCTAATAGATGCTGAGGATAATGGATGGTGGTTCATTTTATAGCACTGGAATCTCAGAGCCCATATTTATAAAGAAATCGAACGCATAGTTGAAAAACAGTGATCTTTCCAATAGTGATGAACTTCATTAGCCTAGGAACTATTGATATGGCTGTCAATAGCTGCCAATTATGATGACCATACATTACTTCTTACATTGAAAACACTTTTCTCTCAGGGCCAATTTCTGGAGAACATCATGGTTACAGAGGGTTTTGCTTCTGCTTGCTGCCTTATGGTTTATTCATGGCATACTTGATTGACCATTATGGAATCAAAATAATTTAGGCCTTTGGAGTGATCCAAAAAGGTTGTTCTCTATAATGGAATAGAATAACCTTCCATTGAGTATTGATTATCCTTCATGAAATAGGGCTTCTGAAAAGCAATAAGGATGGAATTGTTCTGGAGGGGTTTTGGTCCTTGGTTATCCAGAATGGAAGTGATAATATGAATTGATAGTATGACATAAGGTATTTATAGATTTAGTCAAGTCGTTGGCTGTTTTTCATCTCACTGTGTGCATTTTAATGTTTAAATTTGAAGATCTTATAGCCGTCATGATGTAAATTATTACTGTGGATGATTATCTTGTTTTATATGGATTGTAAGCTGCTTTGAGTCCGTGTGGATTTGACAGCACAAAAATTTAACAAACAAATGTATAAGTAAATGTAATCATACAATAGCTGGCAGGCATCTTGTTTTAAAAGCTAAACTTTGGACCTCAGTAAACAATGCAGAGTGATACATGCTTCCCAATTAGACTACAATATGGACGATTTTACATTAGTTTTTAATGCATTGATGAATCTTTAAAGCAAATTGAATCCACCTGTTTATTTTAACAGACAAAAAAAAAGTTGAACTGTGTAATCACATGTGTGTGAGTGTTTAGTATGTTTCAATTTGTAATAATGCATGCATTACAATATGCACTGTTGAGTAAGTGTTTACTTAAAGAAAAAGCATCCTTCCCAGCATTTAACTAAGAGAGACAAATTAAGGGATGGGGAGAGAATAAAGGGTATACACTATGTATGTGTAAAAAATAAATAAATAAAGATTGAGGTTTTGCCCATGCGATATACATACAGTTCAGTAGATGTTTGCCTGGATGGGTACTACCCTGATTAAAGCAGAACTTGGTAAGTAAATAAAGTGTTTGCAAGCCAGGAGAAGATAACCATAAAGGAACATTTGCCTGACTTGACAGGGAATATATTTCCTATATTTTACAGCAGTAATTTTATCTACTTGGGTCTGACTCACTTAGAGAATGCCTTTTAATATATATCTGTTTCCTAGTAGACAATGAAATATTAACATATTTGAATTTCTGTAAGTTGCAGACAAAAGGAATGGCTTTAAAAGCTGATTCAATTCAGATGTCAGGTTAATTAACTCGTGTGTTTTGAAATATTCAGGTTTCCAAAGAGGAGGGGCAGACATTTAGGCCGGGGGATTATTAATAAAGTGAGCCATGTTCTGGGAAGGCTGCCTAGCTAGCATGAACTGCTGGAAACATCAGCAGCTCCAAGGAAGGAGACTAAAATTTAGCATACACCCATGGTCCCCCTTGGTTGCTCTCATGTCATCATAATGTTTAATATGCGCATACACATTTTATTGATTAAGACTTTCTCTTTCTCCAGTTGATAAGCCTGCACATTCAATCATGTATTTCCTTTGTAACAACACTGGGGTTAATACATCTCCAAATTCAATTAGGTATATTTGATTTAAACAAATAGCTTGAAAATCCAATCTAGCCAGTGTGTGTAATTTTGGATTCATAAATGATCTTGTTTGACCTGTTTTCCAATTCCCAGGTTTGATTTCTTTTCTCTTTTATGGTGTTCATTTTATTTCTTTCTCTCCCATATCTATAAACTAGACAGCATTTATTTTAGCTCCCTGAACTTGTGATTCTGTATTAGTTTTGTGGTACTGGTTCATTTTTGCTGGCTTTTGAAACTGGAACCACACTATGGCTTTATGGAGGGCTCTAAATGAGTCCTGCTCAGGAATTTTGGTCCCTATGTGAGAGAAAATTAATCATGTTCATCTTTCATTATCCCCATGTTGAAAAAAAAAAAAACATTGACAAGAAGAGGCTGTTGCATATGCATTAATTGCCCTTGTCAGTTACAATCCTACGTGATTGGAGTTGGAAGCCATAAGAAAAATTCTATCTGCATCCAGTTTCTTCTCTTAGAAGAGAATTTTTATAGTTCAGGGTTGAACGATAAGGTCCTTGATGCTGTCTGAATTTGGTGGGTTTTTTTTTTTTTTTGCAAATGTTTCATTGCCCAATTATATAACATCATCAATCGTACACCAGCACTGATGATGTCAGCTACTTGCAGAAATGTCTGCAAGAAAGCAACCAAGCTCAGAGAACATTAAGGACCCCACCGTTTTTTTCCTTCCTGACTGTCCTCAAAGAATCAACAGGATGAAGAAGGAAGCTGAGTGTCAGATGACAAGCAGACAGGAACCACAATGCATGGATAAATTACTAGTATATGTGATATTATTGGGATGGGAAGAAGGAAATGACTGGATGATAAGACTGTTAGTGATCACTCGCCATGATAACTCAGTGGCAACTAATCACAATTGGAAGTTCAAGCCTTGGGAATGCCTATTTCTAAATGACAACTGAATATTAACTGTCCATATATCTTGTTTGTGGTACAATAATCTCAATAACTATGTGAGAAAGATCCTAGGTGAACAAAATACAGTAGGCCTTTGGGCTAATCCAGAATTTGGATGTATGCCCCTTAAATCTATATTCTGACTGCCTGATTCCTTGTCTTCATGCCAATTTAATAATAATTCATTATTTCCTTGTTGTCTGACGTTGTCTCAGCCACAGATGTATTTAAGGGTTTCTGAAAGACAAGACTTATATAAACAAGAAAATACTGTACAGACTGAGAAGGACCTCTGAGGGAATAGTGGAGTTTCAGATGCCTCAGTAGTCAAGCTAGGCTTGTTTACACAGCCATTATCCTGTGATAACAATCCCTTAATCCGAGAAGGTCAAAAACCAAAGCTTGCTTGTTTGAAATATATTTTAGAGAGAAACTCTGAACTTCTTTGTGTGCTTGAGGGATTTGGTGGACAGGTAGAAGATGTTTAAGAGACCTTTTATTGAGTATCTGAACTTCAAGATGTGCTTGAACTTGCTTGTTGAATAAAGACTAAATGAGAATTGTAATAAATAAAATGAAGCAGAGCTGTAAAAACCACAGAGTGATTGCTGTATCCCAAAGGTATGTGCTTCAAGTATGACCAATAAAAGAATGGATTTGATTTAAAAATTATATAGTTGGGAGATGAATGGTGTTGAATGAAACCTAGGGAATATTTTATTATTCAAGTCAAGCTATTCTCCAAAGCACCTGAGGGTAGGACAAGAAGCAATGGGTGGAAACTAATTAAAGAGAGAAGCAATTTAGAACTAAGGAGAAATTTCCTGACAGTTAGAACAATTAATCAGTGGAACAACTTGCCTCCAGAAGTTGTGAATGCTACAACACTGGAAATTCTTAGGAAGATGCTGGATAACCATTTGTCTGAAGTGGTGTAGGGTTTCCTGTCTAAGCAGGGTATTGGACTAGAAGACCTATAAGAATAATTTAAATCCAGTTTTTTCTTGTGGTAAAATAACCTTCTTCAACTGCAATTTAAATAATTCCCAGTCAGCATGGAGATGATTGGTTTAAATGTTCAACAAATCTCAAAAATAGATATTTCTGTTTCTTACCTAAGAAATATATATCGCTTTATGGCCACCTATTTTTATTTTTTTTTTACTTTAGATATACTTTAATAAGTTTCCATTCCATATTTGTAACAGCTATGACT